ATGTATGCAAATAAAAAATTGCGATGTCGCGCCACACTTTTGCCACGCAAATTCTTCGATCGTCGTGTCGTCAAAACGTACGTGTAACGTACGGTACCCAACCACTCTCCCGTATGCACGTTAACGAAATGAAGACTGGACTCTCAAACAACTTTAAGACCCTTTAGTTTCTTGAACAAAATAGCCTGGTATAAATATGCAAAATATGCAACAAAGTATGCGACAAAGTATGTGACAAAATCTGCGACATCGCAAATATTTGCAAAAATATTTGCGATAATATTTGCGACATCGCAAATATTTGCGCAAATATTTGAAAAAATAATTAAGTGCGGAACCGCGCGGTTTATTGAGGTCAACCGCGAGGAACAACCTGTTTAATTCTGAATTTACCCCTAGGACGCCTTGACATGCCATTGGCTTGACCACGTTGTAGATGCGTCCTTCGCAATTCAGCTAATTCTGCTGCAAGTAAGGAGGATAAGCCCCCCCCCCCAAACAAACAAAATATCAAGTTCAAGAACAAAGATAAATAGATAATGTGTGTATAACGTTTAGCATATACCTCATGGGCAAGATGGATGTACGATTTAAATGTTTTGTTTGTATAGTCTTGGTTGCTCCACACTACTTCAAGCAAAATACGTAAAAGTACCCAGTATCATCACCAAATGATTTTTGTATAACTGTAATTGAATTTTGTTTCGGGAAGATGTTATTTCCCTATTACCGACAAAAATATCGTAGGCACTGAAAAAATCCACAAGCTCAGGCCTACTGGGGTAAAGGATTCGAACCCACAACTTCCTGCTTAGCGGTGCAGACGTATCACCACTTGGCCACGCAGATGATCTGTTCGCACCTTGATCAACGGGTACCACTAAAATCAATCAATCTTGTGTACGATTGAAAATTTTTGCGATGCCACAATGCTCATCATTCCATATGTTGTATGCATTACAGATTGCAGTTTGTTCTTCAGCTGCAAGGCTATAGGAGAAGACGGCGAACGGCACGAGATTTGCCTGAGGCACGATCAGTTCTGTGACGGCATCAATGACTGCGCACCGAGCATACGTGATGATCCACATTCACCCAAGATGTACCATGACGAAAATGAGATCATATGTAGTACGTTCCTCCTTTTTTTCTTCGTTCGCTTGTTTCTTTCGTTTGCGTGGGGTGTTTTATCTTTTTGTCTTTTTTTTTTTTTTTGGGGGGGGGGTCATTTTTGGGGTAGGGGGATGTTTCATTACGGAGTAAAAGATTCAATGGGATATTTTGTATGATTGCATTTTGATCGGGGAAGGCAACAACGGGGAATTGGCGGCGAAGGGGGGGGGGGGCAGGCGTTCCATCCATGCGCCTCTTAAGTAATGCAACTGAGCCAGAACCCATTTAACGTCAATTGGTGGGGGACAGGAGGAAATCCCGCCCCCCCCCTACATTTTAAAGTGGGGGGCATCGTATCGTTTGTCCCCCAACACTTTTTTGTCCCCGAATAAAAATTGTAGCCTACATAACAATTCTATACCTCTGAATAGCTTATTCAGTGAATCCGAACTCGAAAATGATGTTTAAAGATGATCCTTTTCTCATAAAAATTGGTTTAAGTGGTCAGAAATTGCCTCAGATCGCACCACAGAGCGTCTAGAATCCAAAAGTTTTCGGAGGCCTTAAGCGGGCCCGGACCCTACGCCGTAAGGGCTTCGCGCTTGCATTAGTGCTAATGCCCCTCCCACTTTGAGAAGCGATTGACGCCTTTGAACTTAACCAACTCACTCTTTTTTTTCTATCAGATTTCTTGAAACATATGATGGATCGATAGAGGAGACGTCTAGACTGCAAGAGCACCAGGACCAATCGAAAATCGCGAACGAATTCTGCGAGACAATTCACATACACTTGACTTAAATTTCACATATTCAGCTCTAGACTTGTGGTATGGAAGAAGAATCATAACATATTCGGTTGACTTGTATTGGCATAAATAATTATTTAATAATTATAAATGTAGGTTCTGTCTGTTAAAAAATACCGGGAAAGAGATTACAGAATTTACAAGAACTTTTGAAATATTTGTCTTTAAAATACAGATTCAGTTTTCAAGACGGACATATTTAACTGATCTAGTTGTTATGTCATTCAAGTTCTACTGTCTCAACATTGTTAGCCTACTTGGATCAAGAAAACGGGACTTGTAATTCCTTAAGTTTATGGTTAGGCCTATTTAAAGGATATCGCATGTCTGTGTTTTCTTTATGATCTTCATTTTATTATAGCTTTTATTATTATTATAGTTTTTAAGTTTCTTTTGGTACTTCAATTGTTACAACTTTATTTGTTGTGTATTGGCCACCGTATTGCAACCTATCTTTATGTTACTCCGAATAACCTGGAATGTATGGGCCTGCTGGTCATTATGTACAGTTCAATTTCAGAAATAAAGGAGCGATCGTAGATTCAATTATTGCTTCAGATCTAATACATTATTAATTTGGTCTATACTGTGTTGCTCGCGTACTTTAAGTTATACGCGATTATGGAAATCAGAAACACTAAATATCTCACTCCCAGGTCCAGATGTGCGAACACGCACAAAAACAATGCCCGTGGTGAATATTTTTTTCCCCAAAACAATCATAATTATGGATCATGGTTGTTGAGCGCCCTCTACGATACTTATACGTACCCAGGTATATGCCATCCTGTCGAACTCTTCGATGGCTCAGCTGGATAATGCCATGGGTTTGAGATCGAGAGTCTGAGTTCGAACCCATATTTTCCAATCTTCTTTTTTCTTCCATTTCCAATTTGCGGCTTTGGAGGATTTTTTTTTGTAAAGGAAAGAAAGTCCGAATTTTCATTAGTTCTCATGTTTTAGGGAAGTTGTCCAAAAACCTCATAGCGTACACCCCATTTGCTTATGTCGTTTTGAGAAAAAAAATAGCGCCCGGGGAGGGGGAGCCGGGGGGGGGGGGGGGAGCCCTCCTCCATTCCTATTATAATGTTTCCTGTTAGGCCCCGCGTAGACATTTCACTCTTTGAGTTCCCCCATTTCTTATCCTTTTTGCCATTTTTGTGCCCCCCCCCCCTCTCTAGCCAAATCATGGGTGCGCCACTGTCCGTCACCCGTTTTAAGTTTCTATCCCCAATGCTCTGGAACAATATCTAAATAATGTTTTAAAAAAACCCTCTTTTATTGGTGGTGGGGGTCTGATGTGGCGCAACCCTCTGAATAAGGTTGTTTATTTTAAGGCAGAAACAGACCTGCCTCGCGAGCAGACTAGCTTCCAGTCCGTATGATTATACGAGAATGCAATTATAGTCGGTACTTGATTCGAAATTGATTTCGTTGGCCAATTTTTTTTCATCGATGTCTTACTGGCAGTTTAGAGAAGGAATGTAATTTTGTTTAGATGAAGCTCAAAATAGCATGGGGGAAAACAACTTTAACTAAAAGCTAATCACTAAAAAGGACAAATGCACGAGTTCAGGAAAGGTCCGTTAGGTCCTAATAACTTCTTGGATTATAGCGTAAAATCCCGAGAGTTAATAGATGGAGCGCTCGCGCCGCTTTTTTTCTTTTTAAATCCTGAAACTAAACGGATGGAACAAGGGGCCCCACCCCAGTGATTGTTCACTGCATTTCTTTCTACTAATGCCACCCCTCCCCTATATCTCTTACCCTGCTCAGAAAATCGAGAGCACCTTCCCCAACCCCGGACGAGTGCTACCAAGTACCATGCAGTGAAGCCACTGCTTTCCACATCTGTGTTGCTTTGTTTGTTCACTGCGCATACCGGTACCGGTCCTGTGGCTAAATTAGTAATAAATGGCGTTTTACCAAGCCATTTAGGAATCAATTAAATCAGTGGTTGCAGAGGAAAAGTATTGGACTGTCATTTATTTCAATTAGGCGACAGGTGAATTTGGCAGTTACTGTTCGATTCAATCGAAACAAGTCAATGAATGAATTAATTACAGTTGGTTAATTGATCAGACAGGTTGGTCATTCTTCTTTTTCAGTCGTGACACATTATTTATATGGCCGATAAAAATGAAACCTATATCACTTAGCTAAGGGTAGGCCTCCGTTTGCCGAGAGCATGATCGACTAGCTGTGAGTGGATTGCATAAATTGCTTTTCTGCAGGTTACCGGAGGGATGAAAAGAGTTGCGATTGGGGTATTATATTTTGGACCAATCATTTAAGGATTTGGGTAAGATAACCTCAAGTTGGTGGCGTTGGAGCGTGCTTGTTTTTAAATTAATTTCTGAAATTTTGAAGCATTTTGCGGTTAAAATAACGCAGAAACAAAATCAATTACTAGATGCTTGCCATTTAGTTTCTTTGTTATATACGCAGGCTTATCATAGGTACAATATTCTCCCAAAAAGACTGATGCATTTTAGGATGTACACGTGCCAGTGGCGCACCCAGGATTTGGCTGGGGGGGGGCTCACAATTTTTTTGTCAAAATTTTTTCCCCAAAATTTTGGCTGCAGAAAAAAGTTGTGTGTGTGTGTTTTTTTTTTTTTTTTTTGGGGGGGGGGGACTATTTTGACGTTGGTGGCGCCACTTACAACCCTATTATACTACTCGAAAATAGGCCACATTCATATCAACAAGGCCAAATCGTGGGACTAAAAAAAACAATGTGCCAAAGAAAGGAAAAATTGACCTGGGGGGGGGGCTCAAGCCCCCCCCCCCCCCCGGGTGCGGCACTGACACGTGCTGACGTTGTGTAGTTGAGCTAGCAAATGACAAGATGTCTGTCTTATGCAGTTTTATTTCATAAATCAATGTATACAAAAGCTGACATAGTACTTTTTTAATAAAGGGATTCGTATAAACTCAAATTGGTTCAATTTGTTAGGTGTAATTTATACATAAAATTTCATAATTGTCGGCACCTTGAAACGTTCCCCGCCTACGGAGATAACTCAAATCAATTTTTGTTCACTCATCTTAATGTCACACAGCTGTTCAAAACAACAGAACTATGGACTAATTTCAGGAATGTATTTTGCTGCCAAATCACAGAAATGTTGTTATGTCGGTGGAAATATTTGCACATATTTCCCCCACATTTATGATGGATTTATCCAGCCTTTACAGTCTTTTAATTTGTACCTTCATTTCCACACTGTTCCCACTGTGTAATTAAAATTAATGCAAAGAAACAATTACAAAAATCAAGTGCTCTATATTCATAAGATGGAATTTTGCGTCGGGGTGATGTAAATCAAATCAAATTTTGCCCTTCACCGACGTTTAAACACTGTATACTCGAGTCCCACCGAGTGATTTTTTTCAACTTTCACTCCGGAGGTATACAGTGATAATACGTCGCTGAAGGGCAAAACCTAATTTTAACTGCTCTATATGTCCAGTTAACATTGAATGCACATATCAACATTTTCCATACAAACGCATAAAGCAAATTTGATTTAGTTTGTCACCATAATATAAAACATTTTTATTTCGTTAAAAATTAAAAATTAGATTTCAATGAAGTAAAGCAGCATAAAGAAAACACAATACTGAAGAAGAAAAAGCAAAACGCATGTGATTAAAAATAATAAAAATCTAAATGAAATTAAACATATATTATTTAACAACGTACATTGTACATAGAACTTTAAATCCAACACTTTATATATTTAATAATATATATTGTTTACTCTCCAAACAGATTAAAATATATAAAACGAGCATTATAACTCTGTGTAAATATGATAGAAATCTTTATATATTGCTTTGTGGTTCAGCACTGCGTCGACTATTTTTCTTCTCTAAATTTATCGTTGAGATACTTTTAATTTACGCGGAAAAAAGCGAACGAGAACCTATAAGTGTCTTGCAATGATCAAAGGAAAACTGAATTATGCATGACTTGGCCCCAACACTCCTGGAAAAAAAAATATGCCCCAGCCATGGCCCAGTATTTCAGGCATGGCCTAGGATGGCTTGTGAAATAAGGCAATCGAGGGAAGGATCATGACCCTGGATGGCAGCATACATGTGGTCGTGTTTAGACACTTTGCAAATGTCACTGCATACTGATCTAAACTTTGTGAGCATCAGTTTTTGGAGTAGGTCGTCTGGATTGGATGTGGACATTTCACACTGTTCGGCACAGCTGTAGGTGTGAATAGTTATCTTAATACTGAAAAACAAACAATTTTTTACGCATGGAACACATCCGAGGCAGGACATGTAAATGTGGCATGGCACTCCAAAAATGGTGCCATTTATACAGCTGTCCATGGAATGCTATTTTGAAGTTGTTCAGCTTAGTGAGAACCAGAGATTACACACAGGCATTCAAATACAGATTATATTAATTTGAGTCACGACTGATGCATTATTTTTATTTCAGATTTTTTTTTTTTTTTTTTTTTACTTGTGTGTGTATATATGAGGAATAAATCAAGTTTTTTTTCCTGATTGGTGAGTTTTGTTAGTTTCCCTATGCAACTTTTTGTTCATTGTATTTAAAGGGTATGCATCAGTGATCAGTGGTGGACAACTGAATGTCATGGTGTTTCTATTAAAATAGAAATAACTTGTGAATAGAGTACAAGCAAATCACAGTTATTAGTGACTACCATGTACTTTATTCCTTTGTTCTTTATATTCAATGGAGCAAGCCACATATCTTTTAGTGTTTTTTTTTTCTAACTCAGTCATTTCTTTTTGACTCACACTGTACAGCTGTTACTGCAAAGTGTCTCTATTATGATCCATTAGTGTAATGTGTACTCTGTGGAAGTTATCTTAAGAAACATGATTATGACTGGAATTGGAAGACTTTGTTTCTCTGTTACAGTGTCACCTGATACTATCTGGTCATCTGATCAAGTCACCTGATTTTAAGAAAATGACTATCAGTTGAATTGGAAGACTTTGTTTCTCTGTTTCAGTGTCACCTGATACAATCTGGTCATCTGATCAAGTCACCTGATTTAAGAAAAATAATTATGAGTTGATTTGGAAGACTTTGTTTCTAAGTTACAGTGTGATCTGGTACAATCTGGTCATGATCAAGTCACCTGATCCTACCACCTGATCAGATCACCCTTGCATGTGACCTGATAACTGATAATAAGATCATGTGACAGGACTAAGATAGTCCTTCACAGGTAATTCCATACATGGCTCGAATGGACCCATGCTGTCAGTCAATCAAGCAGTGTGCATGGACCAATTAGATCATGACTTTCGGTCAGGTGACTGTGTTTATCAGTCAAACCCAGTCACAAGTACTGTGAGGAATGTACTCTTACTAACGGTGGGTGGGGCTTACGGCCAAATGCAGACAACGGTCCATTGTGTGATCCAATCATGTGACCAGATCTCATCACCTGACAGCATGGTCAGCTGTCATGTGACCTAGCCATGCCTGCTCTGGCCTGGACGAGGGCAGCAAACTCTCCCTCTGGCGTTGCTAGCAGCTGCTCAGGAGTTCCCATCTCTGTGATCTCACCGTTGCTCATGACCAAGATGGTGTCGCAGTTCATGATGGTCTCAACTCGGTGCTGAAGAGGAAGACAAGAAAAAAAAACCGATAAAACCGAATGTTTGTTATCCTCTCTTCTTTACAAGAACCACGAAAAATAAGTGATTGTTTTTTTTTCCCCAGTGAATTCATGATAAAAACATTAAACTGGTTATTAAAAATTAAGAAAAAACAAAAAGTAATAATCTATGTGAAATGTAACAATTAATTATAAGCTATTGTGTGCTTGAAGGTTTCTAAGTATAAGCCTTATCGTCTGTAGCCAATTCAGATTTTGGAAGTTTTCTCTCCAAAAAGTGTGGAACTTACGGCTACAATCAAAACTGTTCGATCCTTGAATGCTTCCACCACTACCTGCTGCAGAGTCTTGTCCTGTAAAACAAATAGAACAAGAATATTTTTTATTGACCTCACCGATAAGTAGTTTTGTCAGAAGTCCATCACAGGTACATCACAATCATCACTAGTCACTCACAGTCTATCACGTTAAAAGTCCTCACAAGTCAATCAAAGACGAACTCACAAGTCAATCACAAGTCACCACAAGTCACCACAAGTCATTTAAAGTCCTCACAAGTCAATCACAGGTCCATAACAAGTCCTCACAAGTCAATCACAAGTCACCACAAGTCAATCCCAAGTAATCCAGCCTCAAGTCAAGGCATAAACTATTAACAGGAACTGTGAGAAAGACGTTCTTTGTTATTGTTCATCCACCGTTATTTGTGACTGGACTTGGGAATTAACTTGAAATTTACTTGTTACCAGACTTGTGATGGACTCGACTATGAGCTCCGTGCACCAACAAGAGAGGGCGCTTTTTTACCACCTCTGAGAGCCCCGTGTGGTGGTGGACACACCACGTACGCTTGTTCGGGCGCGTGTATGTTGGCAAACAACGCGTGACTAACTTTATTCTGAATGTGCACAAGGCTATGGCGTGCTTGAGTGAGCGTGAGGCATTGTCGGCAATGGCTTCAAAATTCTCCTCCAACTCTCCCTTACATGCCGTTGAGGGGGTACGTGTGCAAGGAGCAGATAACACTGCCGATAAGAGAAGGTCATAGACTGACATTCATGCTTTCTTGGTCAGAAAACTCAACGTTTACTCACAGCTATCAAATACTAACCATCTCAAGATCAACTGATGCTGTGGCTTCATCCATGATGAGGATGCGGGATTTGCGGAGGAAGGCTCGAGCAAGACAAAACAACTGCCGCTGCCCAACAGAGAAATTCTCACCCCTTCAGACACCTGAAAATCTGCCACCACAAGAAAATGAGCACAAGAAAATACTAATGAACAGAGATTATTTGAGCATTAAACATTATTTACCGGTAAACACCAAACATCAATTTAACATCAAGCCCCATTTGGACATCTCAAACGAGTGTTAAACTTTTCATCGAAACTTTTTAAAATTATTTGAACATCAATGTGCATTTATAACACGCGCCAGATGATGCTCGCGGAAGTTGCAGGTTACACTGATTACACTTATATCTTGCTGCACCGATGCGCATCGTGCGGACCTTTATGAACAATCTGAACAGCAACTTCTGGGGTTTTAATTGTGGGGTTGGGTTTCTTTTACGGCTACCCGCGTTTTACTTCAATAGGGTACCTGGTTCCCACACTACTAATTTACACAAAGTTATACAAAGTTACATAGATAAAGGCACATCCATTATACATGTACAAGAGTTTTGAGAATAAGCCAGTTGTGGATTCTAAGTGCACATGTGCACAATATGATCTGAATGTTTATGGATAAACACAGCAGATGAATACACATGAGGTACATATGTACATGGTTAACGCAGCTGCAGTTGCAATTTTTTTTCACGCAATCAAACGCATGACCAAAAATTTGTTAGGAAAAAAATGTTGAATCATACAAGATACCTTGAAACATGATGCTGTCTAGTGTCTAAAAAAACTGAACTTACTTCGAAACAAGAACTTTTGGTTAATTTTGTTGGTACTCTCTATGATTTTGCATGCATACATGTAAAGTGACTTGCAAAAAGAAAGACAGTAATTTTAAAAAGGAAAACATGAAATATTGATGTGCACCCCTGCAGTTACTACCAAACTGGCTGAATGTCTTCCTCTAATTTTGTTTCACCAACCTAATCCACCTAGGTCCGACACCAATCCTTTGACCTGGGCTATCTGCAGTGCCTCCCACAAATCCCCATCTGCCATCTTGCCAGTTGGGTCCAGGTTTTTCCTTCATAAAATTTGATGAAAAAAAAAACCAAACAAACATAAATTGATTCAACTAATCTTAATGTGAATATCCACCCTGTTTTTTGACATGTTCTTGCAAAACATCAAACAAAACTGCAAGGGTATGAAAATGTGCAAGCATCGCAAGTTTGCGGCAAGCTTGCCGCAAGCTTGCAAGCTTGTAATGTGCTTGCAGCTAGATATCGATTGAGTGCAAACGTGCAATCTCATTCAAGCTTGCGGCAAGCTTCGCAATCTAGTTACCAGCTTAATACTAGCTTGTGGCAAGCTTGCGGCAAGCTTGCGGCAAGCTTGCGGCAAGCTTGCGGCAAGCTTACTTTTCCGTAAGGGTAAGTTCTTGATTCTGAAAAAAAAGGAGTATTGCAATTTGACATTCCATTGCTACAATATACATGTACACGTACAAAGCCACATCTTACAGGCATGTAGTAACAGTTGTTGAGGCCTTTATTTGGTAATTTCGAAGCGTATTCTGGAAAGAAAAGATTCATCAACAAAAGCTGAGCTGCTGAACGACATCCATACAGAACACAGGTCACAAAGAGTTCTACAACATGATTGAGGCTCCAAATTGTTTGGAGATGTTTGTCAACTTCTGAAGAAGGGCTCGTCCTTGCAGTAGTGGCAGCGTAAACGTCGAAAGTGTTCTACAACTCTTTGAAAAAGATCAGGTACGATCTTATTACCCACAAAAAGTCAACTTGGTTATGCAATTACCCTTTTGCACGACCATGAGGAACACAAAGAAGAACTGGCATGGAAGTTGCATTCAAAGTTCACTATGGTTGGAGAATCAATAGCGAGACTAATGCTCTTCTTAACCATGCTGACAAAAAAGTTGATAGTGCCGATAACAAAGTAAATACACAGCCAAGTTTGAACGACAAAGGGGAAAAAAATTCGCACCGATGCCCGAAAGGCAATGTTGCACTGTGTGAAATGGATGGTCAAAAGAAGTATGAAGACCAATCCCGCTTCTGTGTACAAACCGATTGAGTAGGTGTTAATGAGGAGGAGAGCTTGGAAATGGTCTTGGAGAGTTCTTAAAGGTGGGTCATGAAACCAAACATAGCATTGCAAAATCACAAAATGAAACTCAGCTGGCCATAGCATATGGAACTAGTGTGACAAACCATCAGGAAGGGAATGACATGAAACCGAGGGAGGCTGGAGAGCTCACGAAAAGAAGGATCATGTTTTAATCAAAGACGATTGTTTCAATCACGTTGAAAAGACAGGGACCATGGGCTCTGTGCGCAAACAAAAGAGAGCGCCCTTTTACCTAGCAACGACGTCCCATGGGTGGGATACTACATTTCGCCGGTTGACGTGCGCACCATTCCTTGTGTGTGACGCACGTGTACCAGGGGATTTGTAGTATGTACATGTACACGCAGTGGCCGCCGCCTCGCGATCGCCGCGACAAAATATTGCAGTCAGGCAAGACGGCGTCATCCGGTCACCCCCAACTGAACTTTCTTTGCCGGTGAGGGGGTACTTGAGAACGGAGCGGATAGCGATCATCTGTGGTCCACGACCAGAAAGCAGCTGCCAGTTCAATACATTGGCTATTTACAAAATACCGGGATACATCAATTTGTAACAACTCTGCATCATGAAGTCTCAGTATCTTAAGGATAATTCCATGGCGAGGTTATGAAATTTCAGATAAGGCTTTATGCCCATTCAGAATGAGGCTTCACGCAATGCCACAATCGGTTGTGGCCCTACCGGTAGCTTCAACAGAGCTGCAACAAGTGGTTAGAATTCTGCTGTTCATGCATGTTCAGTCCAAAACAAACAGTTCGACCCAATTCCATTGAAAATTGACTGGAACGCATGTTCTTGGATTTCTGAATTTGACATGCAGATTTTCTGATAGAATATCTTATGTATTTCATCTTTTTAAACACCCTCAAAAGAGGTTGCTGTTGTGCAATTTTTTTTCTCCAGCAAATACATGGTTCTAAAACTCTGTATTTTTTAGACACTTTTTAAAAAATCCTAGTGGCTGATCTGCCCGCTCATACCTGATTGTTCCAGTAAATAGAACTGGGTCCTGTGGAATGATTGACATCCGTTGACGCAGGGCGCTTAGAGACACATGAGAAACGTCCAGTCCATCAATAATAAGGGATCCTGGAGAAGGCAAGTGAAGTAGCCATTAATTGATAGGGTACTTACATGGGGTAGTTCCATTACAGCTTGCAAGTACAACTTGTGGTCACATTGTGGGAACACAGTAACTCTATGATTATTCATAAGATGGAATTTGCATCGGGGTGATGTAACTCCAAGGTGGGGTTTAGTACGCTTGTAATGCAGGTCCCACCCAAGTTTTTTTTACTCACAATCACTCGGGAGGTTTTCTCGCAGTAAAAATGACCCTAAGGCCAAAAAAAAAAAGTCTCCGGTTTCTGGTATGCGCGCGCGTCGCCGTAGCCATGCGCGTCGGCAAAATGAAAAAGTTTTTTTTTCAATGAAAGATGAT